TAATTATACATAAAATAATACTACATGAGTCCATGTGCATAGCTGAAGGCTACATAATAAGAAACAGTGCCAGACAGGAGAAACCTTCCTTTGAGTTGTTGACCAGGGTGGTCCAAGAGACTCCCAAAATCATATAGGCCTTGATTGCCTCCCAGAACTTGAAGGTAGGACCCTATTGCTGAAGACAGGACATACTTCAGACACAGGATTTGGAGCAATGAACTGGAAATGACCTGGAAGCCACCTCCCCTGAAGGTTATCTCTCATAGCTTTGGTAAGCACTATGAAATATGGTAAGGGAGACCATCAATTGATGGTCCAAAGCCAGCTTCAAAGCCTAATAACCACATTGATGACTTGCACAGCAAATTATATTGGTACAGTAGTGGCGCTTTTATCTTAGGGGTAGTCAACAGCCACCTAGCTGAACTTAAAGCCCACTCAATGGGAGGAAACTCATGTCTGGTACTATAAACCTAGCCAAATACACATAGCTGGAGAAGTCACAGATCTTAGAGAAAACCCTAAAGCTCTCATATCCCTAAAGTAATTTCTTACTATGTGCAAAATATGAATCCTTAAATTTACAGACAAGTATCCCAGTTACCACCCCATCAAAGTAGCTTCTTTTTCAACAGACAGAGGTTATTACAGAATTACACCACGGGTCACACACAGAGATTGTGAATTGCCCAAGCCTAAGTGGAACATCCAGGATGCAACCTCTACACCTAAGACTCATGGAACCTAGAACAAGGTGTAGCAGGAGGCCTCCAAAGATGGTGCGGACTCAGAGCCCTGGGATTCAGCAAGAATTCACTTCTTGGTCCACAAATAGCTGGCCAAAAGGAGCCCACGCCTCCTTACCCTGCTCGCGAGCCCAGTGGCTGCTGACAGACTGCGTGGCGCAGATCAATCAGAAAACGATACGCTGACTAAAGGGACTTGGGAGTGGAGAAAAGGGAAATATAAGGCCTGGCCCCTCCTGCATTAAACGAGCCTGCAGCACCTC